CCTTATATATGTCCCTATGTGTGCATATAATCCTTTCATTTTTTCCAACATTATCTTTATTAAATTTTTTTTCTTGCTTAACTCATTTCTTGTAGCTCAGTGTCTCCCAAACTGTGCTCCAAAGAACTTAGTGAGTCTTCCTCAAACACAGAGTTTCATGCCATACCACATAGCACTATGGTGATGTTTGGGAAAAAGCATTTAGTGTGGGTGAGGAGGGAGAAAATAAACAGTGTGAGCCACATGCATTAACAAAACAAAATCTCTAAGAAGTTTTGCTATAAAGTAACTCAACTTAGCTTTATTACCCAGAATCATTTGACTTATTTTTCAAGGAAATATTTTAACATTCCAAGAAAACTGTTTCACCAAACAAATTGGGAACTGCTACTCTAACTGACCTGGAATACCAGAAAGTGTGGTGGTGGTGGTGATTAGTGGTAGTGATAAGTGGTGGTGGTGGATCAAAATAGTACAGAGAGAATCCACCAACCTCTATCACCATATCAGACCCGTACAGCCTGTAGTTCCCAATTGAAGACAAAATTCATGTCTATCATTAGTTATTTCATAGGCCGTCACAGAAATGAAACTTACTAAATATTTTGCCTAAAAATATGTATCAAGTACTTGCTTGTTGACTAATGTACTTAAATCCTAATGAATAAAATGCATTTCTTTCTTTTTCCAACTTCTAACTTCCATCTGAGAATATAAAAAGATCTATCTATAGTAGGGACAGGCTTCTCTACCAAAGATATTATAGTAGAGTTCATATGTAATTAACTATGAAAATACTGAATCCACAATAGAGCAGAGGTAGAAGTATAAAAGTGCATCTATTAAACAGACATATTAGTTAACAACTAAGCCAGAAAATGTAAATACATGGGGGAAAAAGCTACCATGTCAGAGGCCCCAGGTTCAATTCTCAGCTAAGCAAAAAGAAAAGAAACAGGTATATCAGGGAGATAGTGGAAGGGGGTGGGGGGGGGGACTGAGGGAGGTGTTGATAATTGCAAAGTTCTCAGTGTATAACCTTGGTAAACTACCCATCTTGGAAATAAATGTATTTAGCTGCACTGTGGGTAAATGTAAGCTTGAAAACTTTCATTCTGAAACCTAATACTAACCTACTCCATAAGCTTTCTTCAGTCTTCCAACTTTCTCCACTTTCTACTACTTTGAACAAGTATACATGGCTTTTAAAAATGTAACATAGTATAACAAAGTATCACAATCAAGTTTATTCAAGACAAAAGGATACAGTTTGTAAAATTAAAAATAGATATATAAATAGTTTATGCAGATACAGTTGCTCTCCCAGTCTCCATATTACTTGTGTTTTGCTTTTTTGAATAAAGACTATACTGATCTCTTTAGCAATTTACAAATTTAATGTCATCTTATTTACTTATTTATTAAGACTCTGAAGAATTCTTTCACTAAACTTCAAGTTTAGTGAAACTTATTTTAAGTGATGTATACAGTGGACAGTAGGAAAGGAACATTATGAGTATACCCATGTCATTTAACTAATAAATGTAAACTTCTGACATAACTAAAGAAGGTCTGTACCCAGCATGGGGGAAAAAAAAACAAACTACAATGCAATTTAAAAATTCACTAGATGAACACAATTCCACAATTAAGTTTCTAGGCCAAAGGTAAACGCATATAAAACTTCACTTAATACTGTGAGTTTCAAATACACAAGAAAACCAGTAACATGTAGTTTTGTACAATAACTTTTGAATATCTAAAATAACTCACTTCCTTTCCCAAACATTCAAGTTTTATAAAGGAAACATCAATTTAAGTTTGACTATAGTTGTACTATTGGCTTCTTAAAGGAAAACAGAATGCTTTAACTAAATATTTCAAGTGTATACCTAATTCATCACAGCAAAGCTTCAAATTGCTAACTCAAAGAAGAGTAGCAAATTGTCCCCTAATCTTAATACCAAAATAAAAAAAAATCAATCAAGTGCATATATAACACCCTGAACAAAGATATAATTGAACATAAATTTAACCATATGTAATTCCCAAAATTTTAATTAAAATAATTTGAGTAACAAAATTGTAAGATTAAATATTACTGAGCATACACAATAAACACAATTTTTTGTATAATTAATGAATGCCCCTTAAGCCATTTCAACATTTTCTGCTTTAATTCCTCCATATATAAAATGTGAGAAACTATACTTTACCCTTTTTTTTTAAAGGTATGTTTTTTAGAGGTATATTTTAATAATAACCTTTTGTCAAATACATTGAAATGTTTTAAACTAAATAAAGAAATGCATATATGTCATAGCTGATTGGCATCCAACATATATGCACAATGAAATAATGTTCACATATCATCAGTATGCACATTTAAAAAAATTAAATACCTATGCTAAGTAAACAACAGAATTTTCTATTTTAGACAGAAATCTTTATGGAAAATCTAATGTATAATATAATCTATGTATAATATAATCATTTTCAAGTCACTATATTTAATTTAATTATATCAAAAAGAAGATAAAACTATTAGATTGCCAACATTCTAGTTTCCTCTTATTTAAACACTGCTAATATTATGAAGCTGTATCATAAAATAGTAGTCTACTAGCTATGAGGATATTCTATATCCTAAGAGAGTAGTGGTCTAATAATTACCATCTAATTGGTAGTAAAAATCACAGGAAGATATGAGCAAATATCAAACATATACAGTAAGAACTAACACATGTACTGACAGTTTTACAATAGGTCAAATGAAAAAGCAGTTCACGTTTTATGTATATGTATGTATATATATATATATATATATATATATATATTCCACCTATGACTTACAAAACATTGTACTATCTGCTCATCAGAAATTAAGATATAGCAACATTTGATATAGCAAAAGAGGTAATTTTTAGAGTCACTTGATTACTATTGGTTAATAAAATAAGGCACAGTTAGGGGTAACAGAATTACTGTCAAAGCTTGGCATCTGGTCTGCCAGTTCAGATTTTTCAGAAGGTTTGTAAAACCCAACATTAATACTTATCTTCTAACTGTGCAATATTTCACCACTAGGTAAACTTCTTTCAAGGTTGGTAGTTCACAATTTTTGATCAGCATTATTTCTTTTGTATTTCTTTACAAGCCATGCAAATCTTCACATGGTTTTATTTTCCAAAACAAATGCTTCAACTTTTTTCCTAGTAACCTAGCTACTACAGCCCTACAAAAACAAACCTAGAGAAAGACATATGGAGGAAAAACAAGTTCAGCTAAAGACATAGTTCAAAAAGCAGCTTCTAATAAAAGCATAAGGCCCAAATTGGTCTGAGTATGATATAAATTACAAGCAACTTTGAAACTACATAGTTAGAAATAGTTGCCTTTAAGTACAATTAAAGGATGTTATTATCCCAAGATAGAAATTGACAACTGAAACACAATATTCATGATTAACTTTTATAAAAACTAAAAATATGAATGAGGCTTGTGTAATTGATTATGCAAAGCTGGTTTATAAAAATGTAAATTCTTCCAAAAAATACATTAGAAAATATATTTTTTTCCTAATAATGTATGTCACATGGTAGGTACCTTTAGGATATTAAATTTCAATTAATTAATCTAACAGATATCAGACATAATTTTAAAATATGCAATTCAATACAAAATCCAAATGGCTCACATTAGTTGGCATAAATCTGAATATATAAACATGTTCCTTTCAGAACTGAGCAAGTGACTATCAACATAAATTAAAAATTCTCCATTTCTCACCCCATTACCAAATCAACAGTTTCAAGGGCTAATTGATTGGTTTGGGGGTTTGATTCAGCCTTATTTAAAAATGTGCTCTGGCACAAATGCCACTTTACACACACACACACACACACACCAACTAACCATCTTCAGTATTTTCTAGATTTCCTATGCAACTCGGTAACTACTCCATCAAGTTCTGTGAACTCTTCAGCGTCAGGCCTGTAGTCAATCTAAGACAGCCAATAGAAAGTACACCTGTGCAATTACGGCATTTCCTATTTCAGAATCCTGAGCATAAAACAGAGTAACTCTAGTGTGCATTTGAAGCAATGATACAAAACTCAAATTCTGCAGAAACATCATATATCTTATTAAAAAAACAATACATGGCTATCCTATAGTACTGTAATTTGCAACATTTACTGGAAAGAAATAAGATCGTGATTCTAGTTTTAAATCATCACAACCAACTAAGAATTCCCAATGGGTAAGCAAACAAAAATAATAAAAAGATGACCTCACAATAAATCACAACATGAAGTTATTCCTAGAAGACAGAGGGAGTAAAAAACTAAGTAAGAAATTTATTATCTATACTATATCATCCCCCAACAAAATATTTACTTCATCAAACAAGCAATGAAAAACAATGAGAGAAAACTCAAATCATAGTATGTGGTTTCACAGTATCCCTATTTCCTAAAGATACTAACTTTTAATTATTCAGAAATTCAACAAAAAACAATTCTAAAAACAACCCTAGTCTAGGTAACAATGTTCTACTCAAAAGCTACTCAATGACACAGTTCCAAGCAGTTTCCTTTTTTTTTTTTTAGTCAGAATTTTAAAAGGTAGTTTCCAAATCAAAACACTAATTTTCCCAAAGGTTACAAAGTTTCATGAACTACCTAAACTTTTTCATTAAGCATCACCTTTCAGCCTTTCAGGGATATCCAGCAATCAACTACAATGTCACAAAAGAATGTTTACCAGGATAGGGGGAGGGGTTGTCACCTGCAATGGTTTTGTAGGGAAAATGTAAATGATCCTCAAACAGGCGAACTTCACCTACCTACAATCTCCCTTCACTGATTAGGTAAAAATCACACTGAAATCAACAAGATACTAAAAACTGTCTAGTGGGCAAGGCTTGCTTCTTCTCTCTTTTTAAATGTCCCACAAGTCCCTTCTTTCCAAATAACTGTGGAAAAGTCTCTACTACTCACCGCAAGTAATACTGTTTTAAAGCAAAGGCAGCGTTAGAACAACTTCTGGGAAAGTTGAACTCTTCAACAATTTCTCCCCACTGATTCTTCTCAGAAACCTGTTCAAGAAACAACAACAACAACAACAACAAATAACACAGGCATACTAGTCTGAAACTGTCCCATCCAAGAAAAGCCTGAGCTGAGCATGAAAAATAAATACCCATTCTGCAGAGATCTATCGATCCCTAAAGGCATCAGGGGGTGATCTGGACCGATCAGTTGAGTTACTCAGCCAGGGATGCTGGGATCCCTGTGTTTTCACTAGCGAGTCCTGTATTTAGCAGCACTTGTTTTGTTGGGGGGGCGGGGGGGTGTTCGGTGGGTTTGTTTTGTTTTTGAAGCCCGGACAATAACCAATCGCAAGTCCCTCTGTCGCCCCCTTTTTAAATCTCAACGCGGTCCGTTTACACTTTACAAGGGGAAAAAAAAGAAAAAAAGAAAAAAAAAAAGAAGTTCAAAAGGATCAATAGTGTTCCGGACAGCGTGGTCGGCGGGTTTGGGGGGCGAGGGGGACGAGGGTCCGGGGCTGGGGCCCGTGGTGATTCCTCTCTCCCAGATCTATCCATCTCCATAGGCCCTTCTTTGAGGCCTACAAGCTTCTGCCTAGCCTTGAAGCCTAAGATGGCTATTTGGAGACAGGTCCTGGTTTCTTTTGTTAGCTGTTAGAAACCCAGGGCTCCGGGGCCGAGGCTGTGCCCCCGGTGGCGGGGATCATTTCGCCGCCGATTATCGATGTGAAACCTGCCCGCGCTAATTTTGAGTTGCACGAAAACTGCTCAGAGTCTCCGTGTGTGCGAGAGTGTGTGTGCGAGTCTCGGTGTCTCCGCCAGTGCTAGAGCGGCAGCGGCGGGCGGCAGCGCCGACTCGAGCAGCCTGCGA